TAATTCAACCTTAATCTGAGTTTCTGGACAAGAAAAAGGGTAAGCAGTTGAAAATTCATTCTAAACCCATCTTTTTTTTGTCTTTCATGGCTTATGATCTGTCAATTTTGTAGTTTTCTTTATTGGTTTTGAGTGTTTATCTTAAAACTCAAATTTCTTGGTTCTTTGCTCTTGGTGTGAATCGAATACATTTGTGGAGTCGTTTAAATATGTTGGATTTTAAATATATTGGATTTTAAACTGTCATACAATTTTTTTCATCGATAGTCTGTAATTGGAACCATAACTCTTATTTATTCAAATTGTATTAATATGTAAAGACCAAGTGTAACTTATATCATTGTTAAATCTTATCTTATAAAACTAGTGGAACTTCAAAATCGTTAAAATTCATGGCTCCCGCAGCATTGTGCGGGTACACAACTAATATATATATATATATATATATATATATAGGGTTGAGTTCACGTGAGACCAAGGGTTTTTCGTGAGACTAATTTATGTTCATTGATCAAGTTTATAAGTTAATGATCTAATGGTCTAAAGTTACACGGTGATAATTTTGTGATTATTGAGAAATCTCGTGGTTTTTATGAATGCTCAGATTGTCAGATTGTAGATCTAATCCAATGGTTGAGAATTGGTCTTACGGATCTCATGAAAAACTTTTGGTCTCACATGATCCCAAATAAAAAAGGATGACATAGCATTTATGTTATTATCATACATGAAGGGCATAATTAGTGCTAGTATGCACTTATTTATAACATGTATCCTATGTAGGGTTCTTCATCAATTCTCAATAAAAAACAAAAAATAATAATATTAGAATCAAAGACCAGACCAATTTAATCAGGTTATATTATTATTCTCAGATATATGTTGTATATAAATATTATATAAGTTATAAACAGATCAATCAAAACAATTGGATTTAGTTCCAAACTAAATTTATAAATCTTGGTAAAAATTTGTGTATTTTAAATATGAAACATATAAATCTAAAACGACATCGTTTCATGTTTGGAAAAGAAAAACCCGAAACCAAACCTTATTGAGAACTAGTTTTGGAGAATTAGAACCTAAAACTGGTTTTTGAAGAAACGTAGAACCTTGAATTGAAATAAATATAATTGGTCTGTTCAAGAATGTATAATAATAGAAAAGATGATTCATTGAGATCCAATAAACATAATAAAAAACGAGACATATGATATACGAGTCCAATAATATTATTCCAGTAAACATGTATGTATATGTGAAATGATGGTCAAACTTCCATAAAATTTAAATTTGTTATTGCATTGTTCATTAAAAAGTAGATAAATTAAAGAAATCTTTTTTTTATTAACCTCGATATCCAACCTGCTATGCGAGCCGATTAATCTCAGGGCGACCACCTGCTTTGCGGGTAGCCCGAAGTCACCGAATTTGAACCTTCGTGACCATAAGGGGATTTTTGTTTCTCTTTGGATTTGAACCTGAGACCTCCAAACACTTTTGACCTTTAGAGCCCATACTCAAACCAATCAGTACCACTCTTTGGTTAATTAAAGAAATCTTTTAATTTTATATAAAATAGATACCAAAAATTATGACAAAATTACCCTTCCACATTCATTCAATTATTGCCCATCACCAACAAATTCCACAACAGATGTATATGTTATGATTATCTCCCCGTCTCTCTCTCTCTCTCTCTCAAACAAAAGTTTCTAAAAATGCTTCAACAAACCCTTTGGCTTTCATGCTTCATCTTCCTTCTCTTCTCCCACCTGTCATCATCCGCCACAGACTCCTTCATCTATGGCGGATGTTCCCAACCACGGTTCACCCCTGGTTCTCCTTACGAGTCGAATGTTGACTCCATACTCACCTCCTTAGTCAACTCTGCGTCTTTCTCTAGCTTCAACAACTTCAAGATCTCCGTTCCCGGATCCACTCAGTCTGACATTGTCTACGGCCTGTTTCAGTGCCGTGGTGACCTCAGCACCTCTGACTGTAGAGACTGTGTGGCCCACTCCGTGAGTCGACTTGGGATCATTTGCCCTGATGCGACCGGTGGAGCCATGCAGCTAGATGGGTGTTTTGTGAAATACGACAGTGCACCGTTCTTGGGGGTTGAGGACAAGACAGAGGTGTTCAAGAAGTGTGGGCCGTCGATTGGTTACAACTCAGATGTTTTGACTCGTCGAGATGCGGTGTTGGCGTATATGACGTCGGGGAACGGACAGTATTTTCGGGTGGGTGGGTCTGGCAGCGTGCAAGGTGTGGCACAATGCATACAAGACTTGAGTCTGAGCGAGTGTCAAGATTGTGTTGCAGAGGCAGGTGGACGATTGAAATCAGAGTGTGGGGCTTCGGCTTGGGGAGATATGTACTTGGGGAAGTGCTATGTGCGATACTCCGAGCGTGGGTTCCACTCGAGAAGCGGTAAGCAGTTGCTCCACCACTTCCACCACCGTAGCCGGTGGCTTGTGGTGGTTGTCTTGGCTTTACTCACACCATAACCCTTGTTCGAAAGCCACTAGTGTGTATGCATGGGAGCTTGCTCGCATCAAACTGTTGTTTTTGAGAATGTAGTGATATTTACTAAATTACCCCTCCAATCATATTATTATCTTTACTATTTTTTTAATTCCAACCCGCTTTTCGACCCGACTAATCCCAAGACGACCATCTGTTTTGCGGATAATCCGGAGTCACCGCATTTGAACCTTCGTGGCCACAAGGAGATTTTTATTTCTCTTTAGATTTGAACTTGAAACCTCCGGACACTTTGACCTTTGGAGCCAAGCTCAAACCAATTAGCACCACCCTTTTGGTTATCTTTACTGATTTTTGTGATTATTAAATTGCAAATTAGTTATTTCTTTACATTATTTAATTTTTCTTATTGGAAAATGAAAATATGATCAAGAAGAACTCAATTTTCAACGATTAATTAAAATAAGTAAATCTAGGGAATTTATCAAAGGGTAAATAAGTCTTTTCTTTGTTTATAATGTAAATGTGGTATTCATGACTTCTTTATATCATTTTAAACCTTGTACCCAATATGCCAAGGAACCATTTTTTTCTAAAAGCTCAAGCTTTTTTTAATGGTTTAAAAATACCATAAAACCAAGTTCAATATGTGAAAATTGTTCGGTAAATTATTAGACATGATATGAGTAAACGTCAAAATTTTAAATGAAAATACGTACGACAATTTAAGATTTCGGTTATTTGAATTAACTGAAGTAAACTATGCAGATGACGACAACGGGGATGTGGATAAAACATTGGCGATAATCATTGGAATCATAGCTGGTGTGGCGGTAATCATTGTTTTTCTATCGTTCTTAACCAGACTTTGTGATCGAAAAGGTATATATATTTTGAGTTATACTTCGAATCTTCCATTACATTCTTTCTTGATCATATATAATCAACCTGTTTAAAGCAAAATCAAGATAAAATATTAGTCGGGTTTTTCTTTATAACCGATGGAAAACATATGTTTGACTCGTTTTTTGACTAAATTATACCTGTTATTTTTGTATGGTATGCAGATGGCAAGTAAAAGGCTACGATCAATGAACATCATATTCCCCTTATCAAGAACATTATTGAAGCTATGGTATCATCAAGATCAAGTTGCTTTGTGTTTCCCATCTTTCTTTTATGAGGTTCTTTCATGGTGGACTATGTGATATAAAGATACACATTGAAGCAAGTGAAAGGAGAGTTGAAATAAGAACAAAGTGAAAAGACCCTTGTGTAGAAAGATGCCCCTCATGTTTTGCTTTCATCCCCATCATTTTCTAATGCAAAAAAAAAAAAAAAAAAAAAAAAAGCAAATGACTTTCTGTAAGAGTGGTAGCAGATGTATCTAATAATCGTTCGGCTCTACATATTCAGACGATTGAGGGTTCTCAAATTAACTCAGAGCTTATAAACTGGAAATATAAAACCAGATTGATGCGAAAAGATATGACGTCTTTCTTTAGTGTTAATTATTTTGCCACCACTGTTATTTGACAAAGGACATGGAAATCTTGATTGGTGTCATGTTTCTGTCAACTTCTTCGGTATCTTTGTGTTTATTCGTATCTTTGTTTTTGGTCTAAGATTTTAATTTTGATATTGTTTTATGGGTTTAAAATTTATGCATAGTTTTTTTTTTTTTGGTTAAAAATGGTTGAAGATAAATATGGAAGTCATAAAATAGGGCATGCTCCACCATGGATTATTTGGAGTTGTTTTTATAAGTTAAAAGTGTTGAAAATGTTACTTTATAAAAAGATTCTTTATGTTATGCTTTTCTTTTCCAATTCTAAATGAATATTTCTAGGTCCATCATCCTTATTATCCTCTCTTTTCCCTTATTTTTCAATATAAATATATATACATATATATATATATATATTATATTATAAAGAATTTGATAAAAAAATTTAAAAACTATTTTTTATGCATGAAGTACTGTACATTGATGCATATTACTTAAAATTTCAGATCACAAGTAAATTATGCACAAGTACAACTTATTAAAGCTCCATGTTTGAATTCGTGTAATTAACTGCAGATAAACATAAACATTTCATTTTAAAATATAAAAAATCTAAAATATAATTAGGATAATCATCGAATTCTAACAAAATAATTAATTATTATTTTTATAAGAAAATTATATTATTAAACCAAATATAAATTACTTCGTTATTGAACCTGAATTAAATTATAATAAAAAAAATTGAATTAAAAATTACACAAAAAATAAGGAATTTTAAATAGTTAATTTGATACTAATATCGATATATTTTTGTCAAATTTTTATGATATCTTCAAATTTATATTTTATTAAAAATAAATAGATCATCATCGTTTTTTTCAAAATCACATAAAACCATATTATAACATCGACTAAGATAAAATATAAAATGAAATATTAAAATCAAGATGTATCTCGCTGCATTGCGCGAGTACCCTTCTAGTATATATATATAGGAAATTAATTAAAATAGGTACTTTTTGTTTTGTAATTTCTCTTCTTAGTTATTTCTCTTCTAAAATCATCAAATGTCACTAGGTTTGTAAGTGACTGGTTTGCAGTTTACGAAAGGATCAAAGTGTAAAAAAAGAAGTTTTTGAACCAGATCCGTAAGTGCAAAGACCAAATCTGTAAAATGTATATAGGTGCACAAGTTGTAGATCGCAATTTGCGAGGAGGTGTTGGACTAATTTATAGATTTTGCATTTACGGACCTAGTTTATATACTAGTGTTAATTTGTTTCAATAAATTACCAAGGGTGGTATTTGCTATACTCGTTTCTGGCATTTGAAACTCAAATATCAACGACTTCATCAACCTCATCGTTGCATATATCTTCAGTTTAGTTATGTCTTTTTCTCTCTCTACAACCATTTGGAAGCAACAAGATATTGTACGAATAGAATGGCCAATTGATCTGATCTTTTTCATCTAAGGATCAAACTGCAATGGTGCAATGATGATGACGACATACGATTATCTTGCAAAATCTTTTAAATGGTCGTTTTTTATGTTAATTATAGTTAGATATGATTTAAAAAAAGAAAAAGTAGAAGACAAACAATAGTATAAGAAGGTGGAGAATCTTCTTCATCATCCATTATACTCTCTTTTGCTATAATAAACATATAGTACTGGTCTCAATCAACTTTAGTTCCTACGATGCTCGGAATTTATAGCAGTATTGCATCTGAGTCTGAGGACAAAATTAAGTATTTCAGTCATAAATTCTTATCGTATTTTTTGGCCCTAAAAGATCTTTGGCGAACGTACACATGTCACGATAGATTCATTCATCCTGATCAGCTCTCGACCAATCAAATAAATAGAATTTATATTTTCTTAGTCTTTAAAAAGAGTTTACCTAACAAGTTTTGCTTTTTCTTGAAAGACGAGCCTTATTTAATTTTAATACTGGAATAAAGTGAAATTAATAAATTATCTTACCTTTTTTAATGATCGGAAGAGAGTCATCACCTTTACTTTTTTTTATTGGGAAACATATTTAGGCGTAAAAGTGGATTGTTGGTAAACGTCTTTCCCCTATAAGTGTTTACAGAATATGAGTCATTTGTTTCACTTATCGGATATGATTTTCAGTCTTTACTGAGGACATGTGGTAAACGCTTACCAATAAAGAGTACATTGCTCAATTAAATAATAATAAAAAACTCAGTGTAAAATAATTGAAACCACTAAAGCTTGATGGTCCTTCTAAAGACAAACATTTGTTTAAATAATTTCCTAAAAATGGTCATTGGGTGATGACATTTTTAGACAAATGGAATATAATTGATTAAGGTATATTTACAAGTGTATGTGACATATTATGGATATGATAATAACCAATAATATGTTATGATTATAAGGACGAAATATTATTTAGGGGCCGTTTACTAAACGCTTACTTGGTAAGTGCTTACTGGATAAATTTCTTCATCGGATGAATATGACAAAGGTCAAGAATCTTACCGGGTAAGAGCGATAAGAATAACAGAGAGTCTTACCCGGTTAGTGAAGATTACAACGCTTACTTTAAGAATTTTTTTCATCCAAACACTAAAAATTCTTTATTACCAACATCACACCGAAATAAGATAATAATCGGTTTAAATAATCAATTCCAAACACGGTGGCTTTATACGACGACCTCAGTTAGTACTTAGTAGCGTATGGTTTAATGGGCTCACTCCAGAAGCCCAACTATTTATTTGTTTTTCAATTGAAATTACAATTTTACCCCTTTCTCCTTATTTCTCTGCTACGAAGCCACGTGTCTCCAAACGTGTCCGTTCACCGACTACCACTAGGATCTTCATAGAAACTCCAATTCCTTTTCTTCCTTCCCACTCCACAATCGCCCTCATCGTCCACATCAGATCTAGGGTTTTCTTCCTCTCAATTCAATCAACAATGGCGTTAGAATGGGTTGTTCTCGGCTACGCTGCCGCTGCAGAAGCAGTTATGGTCCTCCTACTAACCGTTCCCGGACTTGGCCCGCTCCGAAAGGGCTTAGTAGCCGTCATCCGTAACCTCCTCAAACCGTTCCTCTCGATCGTCCCCTTTTGTCTGTTTCTATTCATGGATATCTACTGGAAATACGAGAATCGACCGAGCTGCGCTTCGGACTCGTGTACCCCGACGGAGCATTTGCGTCACCAGAAATCCATCATGAAGAGCCAGCGTAACATGTTGTTGATCGTCTCGGCTTTGGTTTTCTATTGGCTGTTGTACTCTGTGACTCACTTGGTTGTTAAGATCGATCAGTTGAATAGCAGGGTCGAGAAGTTGAAGAACAAGGAATGATGTGATGGATTATTGAAGCGGTACTTTCCACAATTACGAAATCTACTGTTTGGGGAGAAAAAGAGTTAATGTTTTAATCTTTTTTGTTTAATTGATAGTTCTTAAGCTTCGATTGTCTAGACTGTTTTGTGGTTTTACATTTGGTATAAATGGATCATGCGGATTAATCAGGAACTTCTTTGAATTTGGTTTCTTAAGTCACGTCTTAGGATACTTGTGTGTTCGATGTTTGTGTTCTTAGTGTTGAATTGCTTCCACTTAGTCTAGAAGGTGTTTGATCGAATGCGGTGAACAACAGAGTGGAAAATATTCGAGTCTCTTTGCGCAGAGTACGATGCACAATAAAAAGAAATTAAGTGCTTCACGACAGAATTAAACACCTAAAATCTGTTCATATGGATAATAATACTTGGAATAGTGTTGCATTGTAGTCGGTTGTTACTACTAAATTCTCAGGTCTCATCAATATGGTTTGATTTCGTTGATGTTGGGGTTTGATGCATACTTGGTGTTCACCTTATCGAGATTTTATGATATGATGCAGGGTTACCAATGCTTATTGTTAAATCATCCAGGAAGTTTTTTCTTAGTTTCTTGGTGAGAGTTTAGAGCACTTGGTTGATTAAGAACAGATTAATGTGTAATCAATTTGGTCAAAAAGATAATCACTTACCCTTTTGGTGATCGTTTCTGATGAGCTTTTGCTTGATAAGCTGATTCCATAGCTGACGATCGTTTCTTCCTACTCCTGATCAAAGAAGATGCATGAACGAATACCGAGGTTTCCTCAACCTTACAAATTCCCATTATTGGGATCATGTGATCAGGAGACAGTAACAGTTGTAAGGAAAACATGAAGGGTTTTGTGGATGTAGGCTTTTTGGTTAGTCCTTTTAGAAATGATCATTTTGCAGATGGACTGCTATAGGTTGTAGAACAGAACCTGCATATAGAAATTTTGTTGATGTAGGCTTTAGGGCCCTTCTGTTAGTCATTCAGACAGCTTATTTGGTCAGCCATATATGACTGATTGATGGTCACTTAATGATATAAAAAGTGGCTTAATTAGTAAGTTTTTACGAGAGCGCTTTATACAGAAAGCCAAGTTTTTTTCCTAAACATGTTCCTTCCAATTCAAGAACAAGCTCTTTCCATCTATGGAAAAACCCTCCCTAACAAAAACCTTCACAATCTAGACAAATTAATCTCCACACACACAACTTTATCCACGTGGGAGGAAAACCAACCAAATAGCCCTTGGTGAGTTATACCACTATTGGGGTTTTTTGGTTAGTCTTTTCAGAGAATGATATTTCCTCCCAAACAGCCCTTGGTGAGTTATACCACTATTGGGGCTTTTTGGTTGGTCTTTTCAGAGAATGATGATGTCAATTCGGAGGCTTTATTTTTATATGAGATTCAGCATTCTTAACCATAAATCTTTTAGGCTTTGCGTTACTTATCTAGTTTCTGATTGTTGTTCTTTAATGCTCTGTCATTTAGCCTGTTTCATCTGCAACTGAGCGATCCATGCCTCCCGAGATAACTTGGCATGGTAGTTTATTGGCGTTACGTTCACATTTAGGATGTCCTTGTTGTTAGTTATTATGTTCTCCTTGAAGTTGGAACATATTTTCTGGCATTTTAATCTCATGGTTTAGTTTATTTATCTTGGCCTATTATTCTACTCTAGTACTTCTCTATCCGTTGCATGTTGGTGAAAACACTTGTTCTTGTCTTGATGTCCCTGCTCGTAGCTCTTTATGCACGACATGGAATTCAAGTTTTGAATTCAGCCTTTTATGTTATGTAAATTCTTGTTCTTCTAACTCTCCTGTTCAGATCTTATTTTGTTTCTTCAAACATGGGCACATGAGCTGTTAAGGATCTGATCGATTCTTCCCAGGTCATCTATGCATTTTATCAGGTCAGTATAAAACCCTTTTCTTTTCTGGGAAAAATTTGAATATAAGATCATGGGTGTGTACCTGCTTGATTGAATGTTGTTGCTTATTTCTAACTTCTTTTCAAGTAAGTTCTGAGGTTCGTTTTATGCATATCTTTTCATGTCGTATCCTTTCTTTTCATGGAAACAACTGTTCTATACCACCTCCTGGTGGGACATGCTGGACTATTATGGCTTGGTTTAGTTCTTGCTGATTGAGTCAAAATTATATGGTTGTCTAATTGTCTTGCCTTGGGTTATATTTTTGTTCTAATGGTTTTGTTTTTTAGTCTTTGATAGATTATTTGTTAGGTAATAGGCATCACAAGGTAGATGTGAAATATGTGGACCATGTTACGAGGGTCCGAGTTTGACTTTAGTAGGGGTCTTTTATGGTAAAGAAGAGGAGCATATAGGTTGCCTAATTGTTAATCATATTAAATATCGAACAAGATTTAATGTAGGGGTCTTTTATGGCAAAGAAGAGGGGCATATAGGTTGCCTAATTATGGCAAAGAAGAGGGGCATATAGGTTGCCTAATTGTTAACCAAATCAAATATCGAACAAGATTTAATTTCGTGATCATCAAGTAACTTTTGTAACGAAAAGAACATATTAAAGTAAAACTTAGGGGCCGTTTACCATACTTTTACTGGGTGAGCGCTCACTGGCTCTCATTTACCTTATCAGGTGATATTTCGGCCATTAAAACGGATTGTCGGCAAGCGTCTTTTACCCGGTAAGTGCTTTACCAAGTAAGAGTCTTCTCCTTTATATATCGGGATACGTTTTTCTTAGCATTTGGTAGTCCTTGTTGTACTTCTTACCGGGTAAGATTCTAGGTTCTTGTCATGCTCACCTGTAAGGTAACTGACATCCTGTAAGCGTTTGGTAACAACCCCTCACTTAACAACAGCATCTAAATTTGTAAATATACCATATTATTCGTTTAAATGGTTTAAGCCACTTGGCATATCATTTGTAGACTTAAGGGGTTGGTTATCTAGTACTTACCGTTAAGATTTGACACTCTCGTTTGGCCTCATTGGGTAAAACTTTAGTCCATTAAACCGGCATCGTATGTACCAATTTACTTGGTAAGTGCTAACTGTGTAAGAGTTTGCTCGCCAACTAGGTAAGACACTCGGTTCTTGGCATTGCTCTTACTGTTCAAGATTCTTTTTTATTTCCATGTTCATCCGTGAGGTAAGTGACCTGGTAAGTATTACCTTTTTACCAAATGCTTATCGGCAAGTGTTTACCGGATGTCATTTACGTTACGGGTGAGTATGACAAGGACTGAGAATCTTACCGAGTAAAGATGTTTACCAAGAATCCATTTTGATGGCCATGAATGTTACTGAATAAGGTAAGTGAAGGTAGCGACTCTTGTCGGTAAGCATTTGATAAATGATCCAAGGACCAAGAGTCTTATCCGGTAATTGACTGCGACGACTCTTACCATGGTTAAAGCTTACCGGGTAAATTGTTGTATGCAATGCCGTTTTAGTAGACTAAAATCTTACCCGGTAAGTAAGTGATGGTGTTGAATTTTAACAGTAAGCGTTTTACTGGGTAAGTGTTTAGTAAACAGCCCTTTAATGATCATGGGAGAAATACAATTAGGTCACTCCTACTATTTGTAGTCATGCTCTTTTCTCCATTGTACGATTATCATAAAAAATAACAAGATGATCATTACAAAGCGCATAATTAAGGTCTGTAAGTCCAAGTGTCAGCTTCACTTGATCTTTCTATGAGGTGTATTGGTTGTGGCCCAAGAGGATATATTCCACCTGATCTCGGTTCGATTCCAGGAGTCCATAACAATTGTGGCACTGAGTTTATCAGCGCTAGGGGTCGTTTGTCTGGTTTTTCATTAAGTCGTTATAGATGAAATTGTCTGTGTGGATACATTTGTTTGTATAGATTGGAAAAGTTTTTGTTTGCGTGAGATTTTCATAGATGGAAGAAACATTGTTTTTTAATTAAAAGATGCAGGTTTGGAAAAAAACATGGCTTTCTGCATAAAGTTCCCCTCTATAAGCTTACTGAATAAGCCACTTTCTATGTTATTAAGCCACTACCAAACAATCATGTATATCTGATCTAATAAGCTATGAATCTCATTAAGCTCATTAAGCTGCAAACAAACATGTCCTTAATGGCTTACAGTCACAACTTTCCAGAATTAATTTGTGCATAACCTAAGACACACTTCAAATTAATACCAGTTACGGCCGGTCCCGATCAAGACAAAAACGTTTCATAACCGGTCCCTCCATAACCGGTCCCGGTTCCGGTCCCGGTTCCAGTGAAATCCTCCATAACCGGTCAAGCTTACCGGTAACCGGTTAAGCCGTTCGGTCCCGGTTCCGGTCCCATAACCGGTTACGGCCGGTCCTTTGCAAAAAAAAATATATTTTTTTTTTTCTAATTTTTGGTAATTAATAAATTTATATATATATATATATATATATATATATATAACAAAACGTATTTTTAAACGTATTTATAAAATTAAATGTATTTATTTTTAATATGTAATATTTAATATGACTAATATAAATACGTTTTATTTTAAATACGTTTAAAAATATGCTTTTGTTATATATGTATACGTTTAATTTTATAAATACGTTTTGTTATATATATATACACGTTGAATTTTGTTGACCGGGCCGGGCCGGGCTGGGCCGGTCCTATAACCGGTTACATAACCGGTTCCGGTCTTAACCGGTCTCGGTCATAAAAAACGTTAAAATCCATAACCGGTTCATAACCGGCGGTCCATAACCGGTCCATACCGGTCCCTCTCCGGTCCCGGTTCCGGTCCTCCGGCGGTTACGGGCCGGGCCGGGCCCATTTGGCCATCTCTAGTCATGAAGGAGTCAATCACCAAGCATCATTCATTGCACAACATTATAGACAAACAATTAAATCAAAGTTCTAACACCATGCATAAAAAATTCATAATGATTGATATTTCCATTACAGTGATAACAGGTTTTCTACCTGATTTTGTTTTTACTACGACAAATTTTGTAGTTTTGACATATGACTTTGTTTGAACATTAATTGAGTTTAGATATCGACAGGAATAAAAAAAATATGACTTATTTAAAAAAATTAATCAAGTTCTTGTAATTATCCATCGCTTAATTAAGGGTGTAATCAGTTTCTATGTTAAATAATGCTAGCCGAATCAGTTCAAAGTCATGTAAAATAGTAGTAGATCTGATTTATTGACTGCATATAGTTCCATTG